AGGTGTAATGTGGTCATGTTTATGGGAAAGAGTGATTATTCTGGCAGCAGCATTCTGTACAGATTGTAGTTTATCTAAGAGTTTGTTTGGTAAGCCAAAGAGCAGAGAGTTACATAATCAACACTTGAAACGATAAAAACACATAAATAGAGAGACGGAGTTGAAATCAAACGAGAATCTATGAGAAAAACCAGTAGTACTTCGGTAAAACGACGGCGTGGAATACATGTTTGCTTGCTTGTTCGATGGGCGGAAATATCGAAGAGTGCATCCAATCAAATAACGCGTAGGATGTGATGTTTTCGGGGTTTTCTATACTCAGTGATTGTGGTACGTGAAATTCAAATGACTTGGCTAACAGACCAGCGATTCTTGATATCATCTACAGTATGCTATGCATAAGATCACTCTGTATTTACTGTAGAAGTGCAATCGGGTATAATCAGACCGAGGTGTCGTAGATAGTAGTTGTTGAATGATCAGTAAATGGAAAGTTGATCGCGTAAACCTGATATCCTTAACTCAAGACAGGTACACGACAAAGTTCCTCTTCTGCCAAACACCACTCACAGTACATTCTTTACAAGTGAAACTAAATACGATTCGTCTGCTTTTTGTCAGAAAAATTTTACAAACACATCAGCTTATTATGAACTAGCAAATTGACTCGACTCTTGAATTATCGCCAAAACATCAATCAAAAGAGGAAAAAATACATTAAGTTCGGGCTATTTTTTATCGAAGACGTCATAAGTTACCCTTAAGTAAAAACTTATCTTACCTGTAGATTGGTTTGGAAGGACTTTAGTCTTTTCTAACCCTGTTTTATCGTTGTCCGTTGATGTGTTTTTCACTACGGAAGACGGAGTGTTAACCGTTTCTCTATCACTTCTGTCGTCTCCCTGGAAGCTCATGGTTTAGATCTTAACCATAAGTACAACTGAAAGTGTAGAAACCCGATCAGAATTTGTTATTATGAGGATTTCCTTGTGGGAGGAGGAAATTTGGTTTTAATGTGTGTTTTTTTTCTGAAGACCAACAAAAATCTCGACTCAAACACCATGAGTTTTCCCGCAACGTTTCTTACCTAATGCGCATACTCTGTGGCATTAGTGAACCGCGGGCTCGCTGTAAACAGGAAGTTGAAATTTAAAATTTTCTTCGACTTTTTTCGAAATATACAAAAAATGAAGTTTTATTTTCATAAGTATATACTATTTAAGCACCAAATATTGTCGTTATGATTGTCAGTGCGAGTTCCAAGCATACGACATTACGTTTTCTTCGAATTAATTAGTATGTAAATTATGCGCTTGACACAGGGAACCCAAATACAGCGTCAAGGAAAACAAAATGGCGGGTGTTCGTAAGCATGTGGTGTTGATGTGTTTTGACACGAAAAAATGCCTTTAAAATGTTTGATTCTAGGATTTCCATCAGTAATTGTATACTATAACAACATTTTTCTCATACTAATTGGGGATTGTAGTTTCTTTTTGCAAATTTATGTGAAAAATGCCAGTTTCATTGAAAGATGAATGCACTCATCAAAAGAAGAAGAAGAAGAACAAGCATAAAAGTAAAAAGAATAAACGAAGATCTGTAGAAGAAGATATTGAACAGCCTGCTGCAGAATTGGAAGGTTATAAACAGAAGAAAGAAAAAAGAAAAAGGAAAGCAGAGAAAGAGGAGATTCAAGATAATGCACCCAAGATGAAGAAGAAGAAAACGAAACTAAGTTTAATCCAAGAAGGAGATGAAGATTTTTGCATGGAAAAAGAAAGGAAGTTTAAAAAGAAGCGAAAAGGAAGTTTGGAGTTGGAGAAAACAATTGAACGAGAAGATAATTACGAAAGAAAGAAAAAGAAGAAAAACAAGTCAGTGAAAAAAGACAAGAAAAGTTCCTACTGCAATGAGAAATCTCTGGAAAAGAAATCAAAAAAGAAAAAGAAAGGAGAGAAACTACCAAGTAAAGAATCAACTGAAACTCAAAAATCACTTGAAGTTGCTTTTGACAAAGAAAGTAAAGAGAAATCTGAAAAAAGAAAAGACAAGAATAAAGCACGACCTGAAGAAGATTCATTATATGATGAAGATGTAAATCCTCTACACTTTGATTGGTTGTCGAATGAAGAGTTAAAACAAAAGTTTAAGATCAGACAAGGAAGGTGGACAAAAAAGGAAGAAGAGATACTAAAGAAAAATATGGAACAGTATCTTCTTGAAAACGATCTTGATGACCCCTCAAAGTTAATATTTGCTCATCTACACGTTGAATCAGATGAAGGAAGAGAATGGAAGGAGTTTGCAAAAACCACAAATTTTTATAGAAAACTTGGAAAAGGTCTCAACCGAGGTATATTTTACATTTACAGAAAAGTTTTACGTTCATTTGATCAGGCTAACTACTTAGGGAAATTTTCTGAATCTGAGGATAGAGAACTAGAAAAACTTATCACTATTCATGGGAAGAAATGGGRAAAAATTGGAAGAATGATGGGAAGAAGTGGTCTTGCTGTGCTCCACAGGTACAACTGGAACAGTGGTAGCCGTGGTAAGTGGAAAGACAATGAAGTTGATCTGTTAAGAGAAGCAGTCAGAAAGATAACTAACACAAAGGAAGATGAAGAAGTATTTACCAACATAAACTGGAATGCTGTTGCTTCTATTGTCAAGACAAGGAATGCTGACCAGTGTAGAAAGAAGTGGCTATTACAAGTTTGTTGGAAGGACTGCACATTAGAACCATGGAAAAGATGGGGTGCTGAGGAAGATTTGAAGCTAATAAAACAAGTGTATGAATGTTCTGCTACAGAAGAATATGACATTGACTGGTGTGAACTGCAGAAAGACTTTAAAATGGCTCGTTCTCCAGAATGGTTGCACCTGAAATTCAAAGTCATCTTGAAAAAGTACTGTAACTCTGTTGATCTTGAGAACACAGATTTTGAAGATGTTATTGATTACCTGTACAATGTGAAGAGGAAAGAGCTGGAAGACAGATACTGCGACCACCAGGATTCAAGCCTAGAATAATCTTCTAAGGCTTTTCCTTTGGCTTAGACACCATCCAAGTATCCTCTTGGGATATAACATTATGACATACAGTATTATGCCTAGCACAAAGTACCACTCCACTGGAGAAAAATAGAGCTGACAGTGCTACAAAAAAAACTTTTTGGAGCTTCCAAAATAAATATCATGCTTTAAGGTTTAATGTCCTTTTGGTTAACTTCCTATGGAGTGAATTATACAACCAAAACTTGTACTAACCATTTCAATAAATGATTCTATTTTCATTTGTTTAATATTTGTTTATTGCATCATAATTTTTTTATTGTCTATTATATAATAGGACTATCGTAATTGGGGAAAAACTGTAGTAGATTCCTAGCCTCTCTTATTGATCTCTTATTATTCAGTGATACGTTTTGTATTCTCTTTTCTTTAACCCGCTAGCTATTGATAACCTAAGACTTGGCCATAAGTAAAATAAAATGAAAAAAGTATCTCTTTTTGCATTTCTTTTGGTGTCTTTTGGTGACAAGCATGGGTGCATATCTTTTGTCCTTTTATTTGTATGGGAATGTATGGAACAAAGCACCTGAAACAAAGCAGACATCAGAAACAATGAAGTTTTAGTCCTTAAATATTTTAATGTTTTATCTATTTATTTCTTTATGTAGAGAGGATGGGATAAATTTTTGGACTGCCTGTGATTGTATCTATGTTCAAGTAATTTATCTTTCTTTGTTGGCACCATTGCAACTTGAGGGAAATACTTGGTTGAGTTGGCATTGCAGTGCATTTTGGGGCTCCCAGAAGACGAAATAGATGCAATCTTGGAAATATGTCCGAAAAAAGAGCCCCAAAGTGCACTCCAATGCCAACTCAACCCAGCTTTTCCCTTATCTTTGGAATAGCAAATGGCTAATAGAATATCTCTCTCATCATTCCTTTTTCTTTCTCTTTTCTCTCAAAAAAGATTATGCTCCTCTTCCCATGAACCTGTGGTACCCGTATCTAATGAATTAAAGTCATTGTAAAACGCTAGGAAACCCAAACCGAGTTTCTGTCGTGAAGAAAAATTGATTAAAAAAATAACAGCTCCTATGAACATTCATGCATCAATTTTCTACGCAGCACTGTTTAATTAGCAATGATTTTCTCTAAAATTATATATCCTGTTAATCAATAAATGTTATTTTTAGTTGAATTTAATTGGCGGATAATACCGGAAATACGTCACATCTTGCATGTATTACCCAGCGTACCGTGTACAGTAGTCCGTATTCAAGATGGCGTCTCGTGGCATGTTGGTCGTGGGAGCGCTGTCTATTTTTTCTTTAATAACTGTAAAAGAAATTATCTTTCCTAACAAAGCCGAAGCACAAGATCCAGATCAATTAAACAAGATGAAACGAGCAGCAATGTTTACCGGCCCTACAGTGAAAGTACTATATTGGTGAGTTGAATATCTTGGCTAGCGTTGAAAAAAATTGTCAGCTGCGTCATCTTTATAATAGTCGCATGGCTTCTTTGTTTGATCTCATACAATTTTACGAATACTTTAGARTCTTTATTAGACTCGTTATAGTATCCTTACTTAATAACAGCATTCAAAGCGGTTAAATATTTCATGAAATTTATCCTCGGACATGTCGCATATAAGCTAATATTATGTGACAATAGGGCAGGTTCGTCTCGTGACTCGAGTTCACCTTACGAAATGTTCTTAGCGACGCTTTAATCCTCGTTTGGTTTTCTTGTTTTTTGTTTTTCGTTTGCCATACCTCTTTACTTCATATAGCCACTTAAACTAGAAATTATTGTTAATTCAATTCTGTTATATACTAGCTTTTTCTCTAAAAGAAATTTTGTCTTTTGTGAGAACATTTTCGCAACACGTTTTGACTCGATGAATCGATGAAACGAGATTCGTTCGATATATGTAAAGTTTCGCAATTAGATTCTATTTTGTAAACAAATATGTTATTATTATTTGATTAGTTATAGAAGCCTGATAAAAGCTTTTTTGTTTTGCCACTAGCCCCTTCCCCCCCGAAAGAATGCAAATATTTGAATCATTAAACGTCAA